TTCAAAGAAATATACTATTTTTTCTTCATACGTCTATGAAGAAACAAATATACTACAAAACAATGATGAAGCCTGAACCATGTACCTCTGGAAGCTGGGTTGTGATCACTAATTAGGTCCTTGGACTCTCTGGAGGAATATTTCTGTGGTGTCCATTACCTGGATGGTCCAAGTCCCACTTAACAATGACCCTTTTCCTTCAGAAGAGGTTTTGATTTTTGAAGAAATTATATATTCTCATAGTATAATAATACCTTTAATATCTATGATATTCCTAACCATTCCTTTCCTTTCTTTCAGTCCTGTCTTTCATTTCACTTAAGAGAGTACATATTCTACTTTCATGCAGAGCCAAAAGGGCTTGCAATGTGTCTGCACTCTCTGTCTTTGCTGGGGCACATCACTGCGTTAGCTTATGTGGGCTCTGGAGAATGTGAAGAATGCTGTTGTGTTCCTGCTCAAAGCGCTCATTGTGAAGCATCATGCATCAGTGAAAGCCAAATCCATCTAGGTCTAGTTACCTGTGCGACATCATTAAGATTTCAGAAGACAGGTGCTCATAGTGATTAACTCCTGGCTTTTATTTTTTTTTTTAGAGATTTTTTTTCTATAGGGCATGTGCGTTCACCAGAAAGACAGAGAGTGACAGAGAGACAGAAAGCGAGAAGTCACCCCCCCGGGGGGATGGCCACACCACAATCCCTTCTCCTCCATTCTCCTCTCGGGATCTTGGGTACACATGCACACGTGCCCAGCATGAGTTTAAGCCACAGGGTCTGGGACTTGAACTGCGGTCGACTACATGGGAGCCCAGCAACATAGCCATTATGCCAATTAACTCCCAGGATTTTTTTTTAATGGCAAAGAGTGAATATATGCACATGAGATGGGATGGGGATAAAAAGAGAGGGAGTAAAACAGAGAGAAATGTGCCCCAGACAGGGTCTCAGCAGGCTGTAATCTCCTTTCCCAGCTCTCCACCCCCACTTTCTCTTCTGGTGTGTTTTCAGGCTGACCCAAGGTTCCAAACCCACAATCTGCCATATGGTCGCCAGTCTTACAGGGCACTGTGTTAGTGCTGCTGGGCCCCGAATTAAGGCCTTACACCTATGATTGTGTCTGCTCTGTTCACTTCAGTAACTCTATGCTGTTCTCTTTCTGGGTTCATGCCTTAAAGGCTCAATTTATGCCAAGTACAAAGAAGAAGAAACAAAATACCAGTTTAAATGAACTGATCAAAGAATATGGAAATGATGCTCATAAATCTGCCCTTTTTAAATAAGCAAATTTGGCTTATGCATCTTTTATTTTGAGTGTCTACTTTACAGATGAGCTTTTGTAATCACAGTGTGTGTTGACCCAGAATGAACCCTGCTTAAAGGCAGTGCTGGAAGCAGTCATTCATTTTTTCTCTCATTTTAGGCATATTAGAATTTTTCTTACCCAAGGACTCCTTTTCCTTCCCAGAAATACATCATTAGTTTTTTGAGTGACCATAAACAAATGAATTTCTAAACTACATTTTTTTTTGGTAAATTGAGTTTATTAAAAATTGCAATAGAAGCTCTGTGTGAGACTCATTCTAAGGTTTGATCCAAGTGCTGAGATATTTCTTAGAGTTTTTTCCCCCCAAGCCCCCTGCCCCTATATGTTCAACTGGATTTGTATTTAGCAACTTTGAATTTTAAATCTAATTTAATTTGTAGTTCTGTTTTGTTTTGTTTTGCTATAAGGCAGACATGTGTGCTCCCCAGAGAGAGCGAGCACAAAGGTAAGAAATCACTCCCCAAAGGAAATGTCATACCACAATCCCTTCTTGTCCAGTCTCCTCTCAGGATTTTGGGCATGCTTGCACTCACTTCTGGCATGTTTGTTAAATCACATTGACCAGGTCTCTAACGGTGTAGTTGGCTATGTGGGATCCAGCCTTAAAAACCATGCCATCTACTGGCCTAAATGTGTAGATTATTTTTTAAATGTGAGAATTTGTTTTGTTTTGTTAATATGGGATGCTACTTTATAGAAAGTTAAGATTTTATTAATTGAAAGTAACAGAATCCCTACTCAAGCTAGCCTGAGTGAGGAGGGTTCCTGGAAAGGTCTTATATGGTAGACTATAAGAGCCAGCCCTCAGGAACTTCAGGTATACCACCAAATCTCAAGAACAACAGGAAGCAACTGCAAAAATATTGTCAGAACTCTCTTCCTCTCTTCAGCCCTCCCTTCTGCCTCAGGCTGCAGGTCAGTCATTCTCTCTCTCTCTCTCTCTCTCTCTCTTCCCTCTCTCTTGCTACAGACAAATGTGTTTCTTAGACTGAAAACACTGCCACTGAGTACTTCTGAAATGTTCTATTTTATAGTTTCAGCCACCAAAAAGAGGCTACCCTTGGGCCAAAAGTGAAATAACTTTAGGATAAGCACCTACTGACATTGCTTTTTTCAGCTTTCAATTCTTGTTTTTATTTACTTATTCCATGATTAAGGGAGACACACACACACACACACACACACAGAAGGAGAGAGCGAGAGAGCATTCCAACTAGTTTTGTACGGCCATCCACTCCAGCAGTCACTCAGCCCTGGATGATGGGTACATGGATGCCCAGACCACAGGGTGATCCCCAGCCGTAAACTGGGAACCCTCCCAGGTGGGTAAGCCTCACAGAACATTGCCTTTTACCTCTGCCTCAACATCTGGCCCCTTAGTTTCCATTCTTAAAGAAATAAACTTTCTTTTAGGGAAGGGCAGCAATAACATGATTATTTGCTAATCATGGAATATGTGTGTGTGCATGTATGTATGTGTGTGTGTGTGATGTCAGACGGGATATAGAGAGGTCAGAGGGATACTTGTCAGCTTCAGAAGGGAAAATTATGGTGAAAGATAAACAACAGGAGAGCAGTATTCTGAAGCAGGAAAATGTCAGGGTGCAAATGCAAAAAAGGGCACTGACTCAGGCAGGCAGTGAACACAAGGCTCTCCTTCAGGACACGCTCAGAGAAAGGGCTGTTCACTTGGATATTGTAAATGAAGACACTGATGCTGCTTGTGCAGTGAAACTTGCCCCACAGAACAGGACTAGAGAAGGGACAGACTGCACCTTTCCCCAGTGACAAGCTTGCTTCCTTTCCTCTCCCCAGGAGTAGGAGAGTAGGTAGGAATTGAGAGGAAGAGTAGAATTTGAAGCTGGAATAGTACCACTGTGTTTATTTCTGTTCAGATTCTGTAAGACTATTCCATCGCAAAGTTCTGGGACCATTTTTTTTCTTTTTCAATTCTTTAAGCCATAGTTGGATCTCATGAAGTCATCAACAAGCTATAACCAATCATAAACCTTGTCAGCACAATTGTATGTTTGCTGTGCTGAGCAGAAAATTTCTAATAATATGTCTGAATGTATGCAGGAATATTAGTTTCTGGGCTTTGAAACAATCATTGCTGGAGAGTTTCCTACCTATATAGGACAGTTAGAGTAAATCATCTTACTTTCGCTTGCCTCACATTCTCAGTGGCTCCACAATGAACCCATTTATTGTATTACACCACTTTCTAACTTCATTGCCTATGTGCTATTCCTTTTTAAACTAATGGAAATTTCTTTCCTTTCCTCTCTGAGACTTAATGCAAAGATTGTTTTCAATGATTTCAGTAGTTATTATTGCTTTTGCTCTTAATTTCATTCACTACATTATTGAACGCTTTTCAGGTTATCTCTTAGTATATGTGAGAGGTACAGAGAATTACCCAAAGGCACCCTGCAGTAAACGGGATTTGAACTCAGATATATGCGTCTCCAAAGTCCATGATTTCTATCCAGAAAAAATGAACATTGCCTTCACTCGCACTAACCCAAGTCAGACTTAATATTTTTCCTTCCCACCATTTTTAAAACTTTCAAATAGTTTTATTTCATTGTGGCCACATTTGATACCTTGAATTTTCATGCAATTTAGAGCTACTATTTTGAAATATTTTCTGTTTACACAATTTTTTATACCTTTATGATAGCCTATTAAGTTGATGTTCTACAGGTTTTTAAAATAATTTTCTTGGACCAGCAGATGGTGAAATGGTTATGTCACTAGACTCCCATGTAGTTGACAGCAGTTAGAGTCCTGGACCCGGTGGTTTAAGACTCATGTGGGTGTTTATGCGTGCATGCCCAAAATCCCGAGAGGAAAACGGACAAGAAGGGATCGTGGTGTGGCTGTCTCCCCTGGGGAGTGATTTCTTACTTTCTGTTTCTCTGTTTCTGTCTCGCTAGTAACTGCATGCACCCTATAATAGTAAAAATATCTCTAAAATAAAATGATTTGCTAATGTTGGAGGCTTATTTTGACCACTACTAATTAGCATACATAGTTTTCATATTTTGAACCATGTTCTTAAGATACAGCCATCTAAGTGTGATTACTTGTTTAAATTATATAAATGTTTTGGAGAGTGGTGAAAATATTTTTCAGGATAGACATATTATTGGACTATAAGTACTAAAGGTCTTATTTTAATGATGGCATCTGCAGTTTAAAAAGTGATAGAATTGCCTCACCCATAAATGAGTATCATATTTTCAAATTTCATGTTGCTTTTATGTAATTCAAAATAGATTCTTGGACATCTGCCAAATAGAAACATGAGAACAGTGACCTTAATTATCTTCTCTTTTCTCCTAGTCTTCCAAAAATGTGAAAATTATAATCTTTGTACATTTTGTTTCATGGTAAAGAAAAATTCTTATCGACTCACCCCAGTCTTAGAATTCTTAACTTAAATGCCTAAATCAGGTCTGAGACTTTTATTATCTAGTAGAGCAAGGAGACCCTCTTCATATGTTAAAATCAAGTATTATTTTGGTACCATTTAAGACTGACTTAGTATAGGAGTACAACAAAGTCCATTTCCACATTAATTCATGCAGTTGGATGTAAGAAATCCTTTTTTTTTTTTTTTCTTCAATTGATTTAGTTCATTTTGTTTGCTTTGTGTTGTCTCCTGTTAGGTGTTTGCCAAACTACTGTGAACATGGAGGAAGTTGCTCCCAGTCCTGGACAACCTTCTATTGTAACTGCAGTGACACAAGTTACTCTGGTGCCACCTGCCATAACTGTGAGTGGTTCCATGATTTGCCCACAGTGGGATGGGTAAAACTCCAGTAATAGTATTGTGAATGTTGGAGTGCATTCAGTATGGGGTGCACACTTTTTATTCATTCATTCAGCATATATTTTTGAGAGGGTACTATATGTCAAACAGTGTGTTGGACAAGAGTAGAATAACACAAGCCCTGGCTTCATGGAGTTTATGGTCTACTAGCAAGACAGATGGGAAATGAGACAATGATACTATTCATGGTTGGATAATTGTTGCAGCAGAGACAGGAGAAGGTACTGTAGTCACAACAGGGAAGCTATTAAGTCAATCTCTTTGCCTTGATGAGTTAAGTCACACTGACGTAATGAGCAACCGAACATCTCAGTGGTCTCAGTAGCAGGTGCCCATGCTGTGCTTATGTTACGTGCCCATTGCACATTGTTAGGGGGCTTTCTTCCACACCCTCATTCTTGGATGGTGACAGAGGTTCCATCACCTGGAATATTGCCATTGTGGGGCAAAAGAAACAAAAGGAAGGAAGCACAGCAAGCATTTTTAAAAGCTTTTAAAAGCTTCTACCTGGAAGTGGCTAACATTATTTCTACTCACATTCCATTGACCAGTCACATGGGCAGACCCAACATCAACAGGGGATGACATGTGTGCTTACCACAGAGGGGAAGACAACCGAACCTGAATGTTGGCAATAAGTACTGAGGGCTGCTAATCAATTCCGGGTGTGTGAGAGGCTTCAAATAGAAGGCCTGAGTAGGATTTAGCAGTGAGCATCTGGCAAGAAAAAAGAAATCAACAAAAAGAGTTTTCCGAAGCAAAGGAACAAATAAACCCAGCATAAAACAACAGTCTCCTAAGAAAGTCTGAATCTCCAATGGTTGTCCATGGAACTTTTGCAAAAGGGTGCTGAAGTTGAAAGAGTGGTAAAAGAGGAGGCAAAGAGAAAGGTAGACTAGAGTATACCAACAATAAAGAGTGAAGAATAAAAAATGAAGAATTTGAGTCCTGATTTCCATATTCTTATAGTCTTGTTGGAATCACGGAACAACAATGACAAAATATGCCAAAGTAGAGAAATGTTGCTATCAAGAGCATTGCATGTCAAATGATGTGATGCGAACTGTAAATGTAATTGGGAAAGACATAGCTGAAGGTGCTGGCCATCATCCTAAGAGATATAATGAAAAACATGAAATTTGAAGCTCACTTAGACCATAGAGGGGTAGAAGACTCATCTAAACAGACATAAGTGCTTTGCCAAAGCCTAGAACTATTCTGAGGACCACAGTGAGACGGTTACCAGAGGATATATCTCACCTTTTTGTTTCTTAATTCCCTGATCTTTCTGGGCTCACATTCAAGGATGCAGAAAGGGAATTGTACAAATGGACTGGAAACATACTTAAAGAGGATAAGTACTCATGATAATGTCATCTTTGAAGTCCTCTTAGCTCTCCCATGGCCTCTTCTATGCCTTGGAATTCAATATTCACCATGAAGTCCAAGAGGAGTCTAATCAAATCAGAGAAGAAATAGTCCAACGTTTTCATGGAAGGATGTTATTGTCACTGCATTAGTTGCAGGGGGAAACCAAAACTATTCTCTGGCTTTTAATATAGCATTTTATTTAAATTTTTAACCTAAAATTCTGAACAGTAAAGAGGAAATTAGAATGAGAGAGATTGGATTTAAATTTTTTACCTAGCACTTGCATATGAATAAGTGAAATGTTTTATTAACTAGGAACTATTTTTACATAAATTTTATAAAGGAAAACAAATGAATGATTGTAGACCTATCTAAGACTAAAATAACATGCTTTTAATTTAAGATTTTTAACAAACGTCAATCCATATATTTTTAGTGTGTTCCTGTTTCTAAATAGCAAAAAAACAACATATACTCATAGGACATGCTAGGAGATGCATATGGTACAGGACATGCTTAGGATTGCCCAGATTATGATACAGTATTCTTGTAAGAAGCTTGAGGCAACTAGAATAGCCATCAATTTAATAGTGACACAAGAGAACCCTCAAGAAGACTGATGTCAGAGTAACCTAGATTTCAGCCAAATCACATTACTGCATTCCTATGACTTTTAAAGTTTGTTCTGTTCACTTTCTCCAAAAGTAATTTAGCAATTTTTTTTTTTTGAGGAGTTCATCTCTACAAATTCTGTTCTCCTTTAATTTACTCCATCCATCTGGCTAAAAATAGAAGATTTCTAGCTTGAAAAAAAAAGTTTGAAGTTGAAAATCAATGGAGGTATGGTACTGATTTTTAAAGGAACACTGTCAAGACTGATGAGCAGGAAACTCAAGCTTTAAAAATATTATTCTTTTTTAAACACCTTGGCATTCCCCTTTCTGTGAAATTGCTCAGTGCTTACACTATAGGCTGTAACTTTGTAAAACTCTATCTTCTTTTCTGGGCACCCAGCCAGAACAAATCAGAGGCTCTGTATCTGTGACGTTTGGCAAGCACAACTTGAATATCTGTGCAATTCAAGGATCTGTCTTCCCTCTAACTAATCTCTCCCTCCCCCAGTTGGTTAAGGACCAATGTTTTGAGTCACTTTGCAAACTGAGTGAATTAGTCAGTTATTTTATGCCCTCAACAAGTATGTGTACCACATAAGGGCATATCAGAAGTGAGAGTTGTTGAAATAGCACCTAGAATAACCCCAGGTAAAAGCAAAATCTAACAAGCCTACAGTCCTCCTCTTGTGAAAATGGGAGATTTTGGGTGTGTTAGGAGTATGTTTTATTGAAGCAATAGTGCATAATAGTACATAGTAAGAAAAATAAGTTCAAGTTTTTGGAATTGATAAGCCATTAATATTTAAAATAATATATTTTTTAAAGTTTCTTTCTTTCTTTCATGAGCAAGACATTTAAACACCTTGGCATTCCCCTTTCTGTGAAATTGCTCAGTGCTTACACTATAGGCTGTAACTTTGTAAAACTCTATCTTCTTTTCTGGGCACCCAGCCAGAACAAATCAGAGGCTCTGTATCTGTGACGTTTGGCAAGCACAACTTGAATATCTGTGCAATTCAAGGATCTGTCTTCCCTCTAACTAATCTCTCCCTCCCCCAGTTGGTTAAGGACCAATGTTTTGAGTCACTTTGCAAACTGAGTGAATTAGTCAGTTATTTTATGCCCTCAACAAGTATGTGTACCACATAAGGGCATATCAGAAGTGAGAGTTGTTGAAATAGCACCTAGAATAACCCCAGGTAAAAGCAAAATCTAACAAGCCTACAGTCCTCCTCTTGTGAAAATGGGAGATTTTGGGTGTGTTAGGAGTATGTTTTATTGAAGCAATAGTGCATAATAGTACATAGTAAGAAAAATAAGTTCAAGTTTTTGGAATTGATAAGCCATTAATATTTAAAATAATATATTTTTTAAAGTTTCTTTCTTTCTTTCATGAGCAAGACAAGAGAGAGAGAAGAGAGAGAGAGAAAGAAAGCAATCTCAACAGGGTATTGATGCTATGACCTACCCCAGCCTTAGCCAGACTTAAATCATGAGTGCTTATGGGCCCAACATTCTTGGGGAACTTCCTATGTGGGTCACCCTCAAAGAGTTTTGGTTGTACTACTATGTCTCTGTCTTACCCCTGAAGCTGATCATTTCTTGAGTATTTCTCTTAGTTTTTTGAAGCTCTTGAAGATTAGTTTTGCTTTTTCATTACTGTTGTTTTCTAGTAAATACAAGCCAATAGAGCTGACATAGGACAAATAGAATTAACTCTTTTCTGTTCATCCTTTATAGATTTAAAAAAAAAAAGACTAAATGAGGTGAGTAGTACAGTGAACTTGCTAAAGAACAGAAAGTCTTTTTACACATCAAGTTCCTTTTGAAGGTCAAGATACTTTCATTCCATCTCAATTTTCTTTCCTCCTTACCTGATGACAGGCACATAAAGAACCTGGGTCCCTTTTCAAGCAACTTTGTTCAAAAAGGCCTCTTTAAAAAAAGGGAAGTTGGGGACCAGCAGGTGGTGTGGTGGTTTAGGCAATGGACTCTCAAATGGCTGACCATTGTTCAAGTCCTGGACCTAATGGCTTAAAAATCATGCAGGATGCATGTGGACCAGAAAGGTCACATAATTTCCTCAAAGTCACATAGCTAGTTAATTGTGGTATTAGGAATTTAACCAATGGGATCTGACTGCAGTTGCCAGATTCATAAGAGACATCTTATTTCTTCTCTTAAATAAGTTAGATGCTTTCAAACTTCTTTATATGAAATTAGTAATGAGACATTCAAGACTTCCTTCATATTGCTTCAGACACAGTAGAATATTGTATATTGTAATTGAAAATGAAATTCTAGAAGACTAAGAGATGAGAAAGTTTTTGTGCTGCAGAATAATCATGAAAGCATTATGGAAGGAAGTAGAATGAGTTTGGATTTGAAAGACAGCTACAGTTGGAATAGCTACAAGGAAAAGAAAAGCTTATTGAAAATAGGGATACTGACAAGAACTAAGACAAGATGGTAGGATTGTATGTGCTATATATAGTGTAGGGACAGTGTAGATGTGTGTGTCTGACTCAAGAAAGGAAAAGTGAATAACTCTATTTTCCCCCTGTGGCACAAATGAAATTCCTATAGAGCACTTTTCCTGAGAAAATCTGAACTCACTTCCCATTATAGCCAAAGATTTCCATGTGTTATTGCATATCTACAAATAGCTTTAAGAACTACTGATTGGAATGACTTATTGTTTTTTATTCAACTACTTTAATATTTTTGTTTGTTCATTTTGTGTAAAAGGGAAAGATCCTTTCTTATATCCAAGTATCATTGTAACCTATACTATCGTGAGCATCTTTGTGATGAAATAATTTTAACTCCGCAAGTTCTATTGTTTTCTTGACCTAAATTTAGAAATGATAGTATTATGTCAAAGATCATGAGGAGTTTTCAGGCTCTTGATTCATATTTCCAACTTGTTTATCTGAAGCCTTATTGTAGTTTATACTC